TGGTTGGTTCTATTGTTCAAAAACTTACCGACCACAAGCTTTTGAACAGTAGTATTTAGATATATTTGTCACATATAGTACATACTCACTAGATAAAGTGTCATTCAAATGGTTAACCTCTTAACGGTAAAGCTGTGTGTCTAAATAAGTTGTGTTCCAAATTTGAATAACACTCCAAAGAGAAATGAAAACTTGAAATCGCATCATATGACCCCTTTAAAAAAAATGTAGGTTCCTATGCAATTTTTTTTAGGCATTATACCAGAAACAGCCACCGGCTGCCCTCCAAATGCCATTTAATTTTTTTGATGCATTTTTCTGTCACAAATGTATCAATTTCTCTCTCAATATTACTCCTATTGCAAAATAACCACCAAATATGGAATCTTGAGACTCGGCCATTTCCAACGATACATATTTTGTCAAGATTATGAAAAGTTTTGATTCTAAAAGACCGTAATACATTTGGAATATGACACCTCCTACTAAGGGGGAGGAGCCCGCTAAAAGATTGTAAAGTACGATTTCCATGGTAACGCAGTGTCCGATTTCAAAATGGTTTCACAGGATGAATTTATAGGTTTTAAGCTTTCAAATGATATATAATTTATGATGATTACTAAAACATGTGATGGGGAAAAAGGAAAAGAAGAATTTTTGTGACGGCAGAACTCCTGTTATGATGTATATGTTTTGAGGTGCACTCGTCATAAATTAATCTATTACTGTTCCTACATAATTTTTAACAACAAACAGTGGTAAAATATCCATTTAGGAGTCTTAGACATTTCCAACGATATATAGGTTGTCATGACTAGATTAGGATTTAATTGTAATATATTGAAGTAAACTTAGTCGTCCCGTATACGGGACGGTGACAGTTAAGTGGCTAAAATAAAATGTAGTTCAACTGCTAGCTACACTCTAAACAAACCATTTTAGCAGTTTATGCAAACTTTGTAATGCCAGACCTCTTGCAACCTTAAGATCTGTGATTATTCCACATACTAAAATCATTTAACAGGGGTTAATGTCATGTGGAAAAAGAAGATAAATCTAATTATTACTGTAAATAGCTGCACATATGTCAGAAAGAAGAAAAAAAGAAGGAAACTTTGGAAAAACATATTTGTCTATGAAAGACCTCAGTCAGAGTAGATGCCATATTGCCATATTTTTATTTGAATGAAAATAATGCTGTGAGAGACAAGCTTAGTCTTTTCAATAGCATAGGCTGTATGAAGGCCCATCACATAGAATTTTCATGTTGTTAAACAACAGTACTGCTGCCCCTCACAGCCTCATTTTCATGCCTATAAAACACTAAATATGGCGACACCCTGTCTAAGTTTAAAAAAAAAATTTAATTTCTGTCTCTAGAGTTTTGCAGGAATATTAAAATATGATCTGAACTGTTATGGTCCACTTTATTTGTAGCTTTTGCAAATGTGACCCTAATAATATCCAAGATATTATATATCAACTAAGTCAAACTTCTGTTGGAAAACAAACATTAAGGAAATAAATAAGGCTGCAAAGCTCTAACTCTTACATTGGATTTGATCCGAGTCTGTGAGTAGATCCTAAATTGTGAAAATTAATGTTTAAATGAGGGTAACATCATAACAGTATTGTAGTCTTGAATTATGAAACCTCAAACAATCATTTGCCCTGCCACAAGCTGCAAAGAATCCCAACTCAAATGAAATGTTTGCATGTTCAGACGTGAACTGAACTATAATGAGGACAATCCTTAGATACTACGCCATTTCCCGTGATACCCTTCCTCAGTGAATTTTTTTTAGCTATTGCTCTAAAGGTTTTCCAAAAACAAAACCATTGATGCCATTTTTCCATTGCACACAGAGAAAAACAAAGTCTAGAAGATAATAAAATTATATGATTCAACCACTAAATGATTGTTGTTCAGAGGTCAACAGACTCGAGCCTACATTACCCTACCTATAAGTAATATCTAGTTCAAAACCATAAGTGAAATATGGCATTGATTTGTGAAACAATCTGTTTCTGTACAAATCACTCTCATTCATTTCCATGCACTGAAGTCTCTCAGACTGAATTAGAGTGTGACAGTTTGTGAACAGATCAAATGAACTACTACAACACCTACATTAACACAAACAATGTTTGCTCAGTTTGTCATGTAAGCCAATCCTGCAAAAAAGCAAAGACAGAAGGCGGAATAAATCTGAATGTGTAAAAGTTACTGATAACCATGCAGAATTAAAGTCACCTAAAGAGATTACTTGAAGGTGAAATTCACCACTGGAGGCATGACTAGAGAAAACAGAAAAAGGTTTATTAAAGTGGTCATATGATGCTGCTAAAAAGAACATTATTTTGTGTTATTGGTGTAATGAAATGTGTTTATGCGGTTTAAAGAAAAAACAACATTATTTTCCACATACTGTACATTATTGTTTCTCCTCTATGCCCCGCCTTTTTGAAACGCGTAGATTTTTACAAAGCTCATCGGTCTGAAAAAGCGAGGTGTGCTCTGATTGGCCAGCTATCTAATGCGTTGTGATTGGCCGAATACCTCAAGCGTGAGACGGAAATGTTACGCCACTCACATACCGTCCACTCACTGCTGTAACGATGCAACGTGCTGAAAGCGCTCCGAATGAATCGGCAAGAGAATCATTTAGTGCATTGATTCAAAAGATTCAGCTTACTGTGATGAATCACAATTCTCTGCACTAAAGTGATAGACTTTACATTTCAAGCTTAGAAAATAAGTGGTCTGGCAGCTGTCGGCTAGTGAAATAGATCACCGAAGCTGTATTAGTACCAGAAACAATTAACCGCCTCCACAATAGCAAAGTAACTAACTCTCCATAAAAAGTCGGCTTGGTAATGGGGGTTTCACTCAGTAGCGCGCGATACAAAGACGCTTTTTACCAGAGCTAGAGTCACGTTTGACCTTCATTGAGGCGTTTATGGTGATTGGTTTTCTTATTTCTTATAATAAAAACAACACTTCTAGGTGAGAGAGCGAGACAGAGCTTCATTGTGGGCTAGATTTGACTGGTTTTTCAAACAGTCTCGTCTAGATTACAGTAGGGATGTTCATTTTTTCCCCCCATAGGTTTTTAACATTCTAAAAGCTCTTTATTCCAAAGATACTACAAGCTAGTCAGTGTATTCAGTAGGTGTAATGTATTCTAAGTTGCTTCAGAAGTATTGCAAGTATTACGTACAACAATAAAACATACATCGACATAAAAAAGGAAATTTACTTTTGGTACTTAAGTACTTTTAAAAGCAAGTACTTTGGTACTTTTACTTAAGTAACAATCTGTCTTTACAACTTTTACTTGTAATGGAGTAATATTTGACCAGCAGTATCTGTACTTTCACTCAAGTAATGGAGTTGAGTACTTTGTCCGCCTCTGTTAAGTAGTGTTATATTTTATTGACGCTACTTTTGTTAATAAACAAATACAAAACAAGAGGAAATGTATGTATATAGCTTATCGTTTAGACTCTTTAGCCTATAAAAGTAGCCAGTGGTGGCCAAAATGATTAGAACACTAGTATTTTCACCAGCTAAAAATGATTTTAAGCCAGTTATTTCTATCTTTTGCTGTAGTGTGTCAGTAGGAAATATTAGTTTACATTTCTAAACATTCATTTTACCATTGATTATAATAATCCAGTGAGATTTTTGTCTGACAGCAGCCAGTGCTCCACACAGAGATCTGATCTCTCCATCATCCAGTCCGTCTGGAGCAGTGTTGGGGAAAGTTACTTTTAAAAGTAATGCATTACAATATTGCGTTACTGCATTAAAAAAGTAACTAATTACGTTACTTAGTTACTTTTTATGGAAAGTAATGCGTTAGGCTACTTTTGTGTTCCTTTTTAAATCTGGACAGGGCTTGCTTGTTTGTTTTTAAAATAAAAAAGTTCTATTTTTGGCAAATATAAAAGCCTTTTCACACCAGAAGTGAAATGAATAAGCCTCGGGCTGAAGGGAAAGTACATTTACATCTGTACAGTAGAACGCAGAAGAAGACATTTCAACACACTTCAGCAATAAACAAAGACACAAAGTAATTTGTGCTTATTAGTACGGTTGAACTGGATCATCGAAGGTCAGAAGCAAAGACATTGGTTAATAGAATGGGATTAAATACATAAATTATATTTGTGTTGTTTAACATTTAATTATTGCAGGTTTGCGTCATATTCTGAGTTGGGTTATTTTTATTCATTTTGAGGAATACGGAATCGGTGTTGTTGTTTTTTTTGTGAGTGAGATGAATTAATGCATATTCATATTTATTTTATAACTACAGTAACATCTGATTTCTCTCAACATGGGGACAGGAGAGCTGTCAATCAATAAGTTGGAAACAAAAGTAACTTGCGTTACTTATCTGAAAAAGTAACTCAGATATTCTCTTGTAAATTAAAAAGTAATGCGTTACTTTACTAGTTACTTGAAAAAAGTAATCTGATTACGTAACTCACGTTACTTGTAATGCGTTACCCCCAACACTGATCTGGAGTGACATGAAGAAACAGAACAAACTGAGACAGACTCAATCCAGAAGAACTGTGGCAACGTCTCCAAGACGCTTCAAGACCATCCTGCACCAGTGTGAGCTTCATTTAACTTTAATGAATAGGCTAAATCACGATAGGCCGTTATTAAGGGTCGTGTCAATATGGGCTAAATGTCCAAATGGGAATATTGCCCCACCCCCTTTCCTTGTATAATACATGAAATGTTATTTTGCTTTGCTATTCTATTCTATTCTATTCTATTCATGTTAGTACATCTACAGCTGCAGTATGCCTGCAAAGGTACAGTATATGAGAGCATGCAGGAGAATTACCTATCGGACATACATACATATCCTTTACCCAATAGCTGACCCGATATAATCCGTTAACCGAAGTCAGGGCGGGGCATATCAGTTTATAAAACAGCCAGCGAACTGTTCGTCCGTGTTTACTAAGTTACCCGTGACCTGTGACCCGGCAGCTGACTGACTCAGGACCACGAAGAGCTCAGAGATCCTGACCGGACTGATCATAGTAGGGCTCTTCACAGTCATGTGCTCTGGACAAACTTCCCAAGAACTCACAGATGACACGCAGCTGTCCCAGCAGGAACCGGAGAACGAATTGGTGAGTAGGCTACCAAATAAAACGCCTTTTTATATTTGTTTATTTTTCGCGTGATAGAGTGAGACATATTTGGCCACTAATGTGTAAACCAAACTCTGAATAATTGGTTGGGGAAGTGTTGAACTTGTTTGTGTTTATATGTAGGCTATATTTGTATTCATATCTTAAATAAAATAAAAATGTCATATTCAGTTGCTTATGGATACTTATGTTTTTGCATAGGTTGAGGCTATGACAGCACTTTTGGGACGATATCAGCCTCATGTACCATCTTCAGAAAAACGTAGCATTCCACAGGTACATTTTGCTCCACCTCTTTGACATCCTCATTTTCTTCATCTTCTGATCTTTCTTGCTCTCTCACTCGCTCTCTCTCTCTCTCTCTCTCTCTCTCTCTCTTCAGTGTGCTGTGGGGTCCCGCTGCGCCATGAGACTGGGTCCACGCTTTGGGAAATTGTGCGACTGTGTCAGAGGATCTAACTGTAACTCATTTCTCTTAAAATGCATCTGAGTCATTAAAAAAAAGCTGCAAATCTATAATCCTTTCCTGAAGCTGTAAAGGCATGCACCTGAAAGAGGCAGTGGGTGGAAATCGTTTTTTCTGAATCACTTGTGCAAGGTCCATGATAAGCATTCATCAAAATGCAGCATGACAAACAATAGCAAAGCATGGGTTTAATGCGTTTATTCATTAATATTTTTAACGGTTGTCTTGTGTTATCAATAAACATGGATATTCTTCATCTTATTGTCCTCATGAATTATCCACAATACACCCCTAACAAACAAAAACAAATATTAGTATCAGTATTTACCAGTTCTGAAATAGCTTGGAAAGTAGCATTTAAAAAGTTAGTTTCAGCAAATATTCAAACTGAACACAAGCAGCTGGTTTATAAATTGAGGATGAAAATGGAATGTACTTTTCTTCCATAGTGACTCAATAATGATTTATGTTTATGTGTTCACCCACATATAAATTAGAGAGATGTATAAATGTAAATTTGTATAAGAGTTTTTTATAAAAATGTTTAGTGGTTACGTGAGTTCCAGTGAAATCTTTTATACATCCATCTTATTTTATATATATATATATATATATATATATATATATATATATATATATATATATATATATATATATATATATATATATATA